TTATGTGTGTGTGTATAATATAGAATGTATGAATAATGAGGATAAACTATACACAGTCAACTTAGTATTTGTGAATTCTCCTACTTGCTAAAATTTATTTATAACACCCTAATCAATACTCATGACATGCTCACATCATTTGTGGACATGTGCATGTGAAGATCAGTGAAAAATTTGAATTGCCCAAGGCACATATTCCTAGCTGACGTTGAATTAGAGGGTAGTTCTGCCTTCTTGTTTAAACTTACACTGTTAAAAGTGTCCTTTTTGTGGTCTGTGTAGTGCCATGTTTTTTGTGTATTTGTGCTGTATATTGATTTCGCTGTTTAAATTGCCCCCACGTATAGTGCAGAAGTGCTGTGTAGGGTTCCCAGGGGCAAGAAGGTTGAAAGGTTGACATTTTATGGAGAAAGTCCTTGTGTTAGATAGGCTTCCGTCATGAGTTACAGTGCTGTTGTCTGTGAGTTCAGTGCTAATGAATCACTAACGTATATATTAAATAAGATGTGTTTAAATAGAAACAGACATAAGGCAAGGTTATATACTGATTGATGGATGAAAATTTTGTGGCTAGAGGCTTTAAGTAACCTAACCTGTATTTCACCTGGGACAATGATTCAGTATTAGCTAAAGCAACATTCAGGGTGACCTTATGGAATGTAACTGCCATGAATAATGAGGATCTACTATGTACATATTTCTGGAAGGTTGACAAAAGTGTATTTGTGAGAAAATCAAATACAATCAACTCCTTCTTTTATTTTCAGTAGAAATAATGCACAATCGCTGCCAATGTGTTTAAAAAATATATTTGTGCATATTTGTATTACCTAAGAAGAAAAGCATGGACAGCTATGCATCAAGATATTAATATAATTTGTGTCTGAGCATTGAGAATGGGGTAGGTGAGGAAAGATTGTTAACTTAAAAAAATGTCTATACCTCTGTGTAAATTTTCTCAGCACATATTACTTTTACTATAACATAGAGGAAATTAAAAGAAAATTACTTGCCCAAGGTCAGAGGACTAATAACTAAAAGCTATATGACTACTTTCTTTAGTCACTAATTAGCAATTCCCAGTCCAGGGTTTTTTTTCACTTTATCATGTTGTCATTAACATTAATACATGTGTTGATTGTATTGATATTTAATAAAATGAACAAAAATAATGATATGTTCTGATGTTCTGTAGATGATGTGTAGATGTGCCTATGAAAGGGAATTTTACGAGTCTTCAGTTATATATTCATTCATTGATTTTTTTCCCCTTTAGAGTTAAATATAAAATAATAATAACAGTATACCAAGGAGAATTTGAGGAGGGTAATGTGACATCATTATGCAGATTTCAAAAAATATCTTGTCCCTTTGTATAATAATTTGTAATGAATACCTCTCATTGAGTACTTATTAAATCAGCTACTTGACATATATAATTCCATAATACTTCAGTTGCTAATTTAAGCTTCATTTCCTCCTGAATTTTCTTCTATATCTGTTAATGGAGGAGACTTGCTCTTGTTCAGTGCCTCAGAGAGGAAGAGGGCAGAAGGCGGAAATAACTGAGCCTCATGTTCTGTAAGTCAAAGCTTTGAGGAAGATTTAGATACTCTCTTTGGACTGTGTCTTGGATCATGTCAGATAGTGTTCATTCTCTTTAATATCCCTTTTCCCCTTCTTCCTTAACAAGAGCTTCACTTTTAGTTCTAGATATTTCTGCCCTCAAAAATAACTATTTCCTAGCCTTCTTTGCAAACCAAATGTGGATATGGAAAGAAATTTTGTCTAAGATAAGGCAAGTTGTGTCATACACCAGATTTCGACATTTTCCTTCAAAGTAGGTCCATATGTATAATTTACCTCTATTTATTTCGCCTCTTCTGTCTTTCTGACACTTGGAATGTAACCATGATGGCTGGAGCAAGTGCAGCCATCTCAGACAATGAGATGATTTTGGTAATGGTGGCCATGGATGACAGGACAACATGATAGAAAGATTTGGTGTAGCAGATATACCTTTATCACTCCTGCGTAGCCCACTTCTGACTTTTGCATGAGATAGATTGTATGTATATTTTATTTAGCCACTGTCATTTTGGGTTTATGTTATCTACAGCTTAGCCTATTCCTAATTGATACATGGTTGTGTGGGAGAGCAGGCACTTCTCACACAGACTACAGAGATATTTTATACAACTAGGAAGTCAAAGGGGAGCAGAAGGAATCTGCAGTCTTTCTTAAGTCAGTGAAGAATGTCTGCATCCTATACCTGTGTGGGTGAAATCTGACAAAGGAAACACTATAAACTGTGTATGTTTAATACTATGGTATAATTCTGGGAACAGTTGGTCAAATATTTTTAAATTTTCAAATCATAGTGTTTGGTCATTCTTTTCTCTTTTAACAGAGTAACATCCACCCAGTGCCACCAACCTGCTGGGCATTTTGCATAAATTATTTCATCTAATATTTATAAGAACTCTATAAGATAGGAATTATTATTGCTATAGAAAACTGAGGGTTAAAGAGTTTAAGTAACTTGACCAAGGTCTCATAGCTAGAAAAGTCATAGGCAAGCTAGCTTTCAAACACAGGTTTATCTCTTTCCAGGTATCCACTGTGGTTGAAAATGTGGAAACATTAATAAAAAACAAAATTACTTTAAAGGAAGATATTAAAATTCTAAGTCACTGAATTTCAAATACCTGATTGAAAAAATGATATAACATATCATTTTATATAGCATGTATATAATATGTATAAATATAAATAAATCACTTGGACCCCTAAAGAAGAAAAAGTATTTTGATATTCTCTGTGCATTTTAGCAATTCTAATATTTTACATGCATTTTAGCACGTGAGACTATTGTTTTGATAGTCTAATACCATTAGTACCAGGGGGAATAACACTGTACATAGTACTTAGACAGGTACCTGCTAGGAACATGTTCTGTAACATGACAGTATGTAGAAAGAATAAATATTTTATATCTTGATGCTTTAGAAATTAAAAAAATCTGACTAGATAACCCCATTTTTTTCAGTGTTAGCAGAAAATTAAATCTCTGTCATTCCTGTTGGTGGCTACTGTTCCTTTTCCAGGATTATTCAACAGTTCTGAGAGCTTTACCTAGTCCAGAAAATTTGGGAAAATATCTCTAGTTTTCTCTATATCTTGATGCCACTGTGATCCTCCTTGCCCATACCAGTGTGATCCATTCTGTGGAAGCAATTCTGCTCCCACTTGTCCAAGCTCAGGCAGTAATTGTCTATTCCCAGCTCACAAAGCTGTTACCTCAGAGCTAACATATTCTTTTCAGATGTCATCATGTAGCAGGAATCTTACCTCCTAATTATGCCCAGGGTCACTGGCTTCTGCTAGTATGAGAACTCCTTTCTGTGACTACTGAGCCACTAGAATAAGTGTCCCAAGCTGGCAGCAGACATAGATTTTTTTTAAGCTGGACTCCTACTATATCCTCTGGTGGAAGAATCATTCCTCTGGAAACCCAGGGCTTCTAGCTTTAAAGAACCCAAGTTTGAGAAGATGGAAGGAACAACTCTGAATGGGATGAGTAAGATGGGTGAAGTTACCCCTAATTTCCCATCTTGGCTCATGAACTCATGCATTCTATCTAACAGGGCAGTGTGTCATGCAGTGGCCACTGGGTTATGCATCCTGAAGGATATTTCTTTACCAGTGCAGGGTGTTATTTCTGGGCTGATGTCTCATCCACAACTGTAAGAGTCTACTTCATCAGTCTTCCTGGCTCACCACTTATGAGTGGTGTTTAGTGTGTCTTCCCTCCAAATGCCATTTCCCTTAACTCACTCACATCCAGCATTCCTGTCTTGCTCCTTCAGATCTCTGACTAACCAGTCAAGTAATGAGGCACTGCCGGTGATTCTGTATGATTCTCTGTAAATCTTTACCATGGGATAATTTTATTTTTACAAAAAGCAGCTGATCAGGTACACAGTACGAAGCTCTGTGCCTTGATTTGTCTTTCAGGGTTACTCCTCACTGGGGCTGCAGCACAGTAGCAGTCATGTTTCAGCTTGGACTTGTACGTCAAACAGACTGACTCCATGAACCAAGCTTGAGTTTCTTCCTCCTCTGACAGGTGATCATAGAGAACTCTCTATGAAGCCATAGGTATAAGCTAAGGAGGAGATGTAGATATAAAAGTGGTAGGTGACGTGGAGGTCTGGACCACTTATTTTTGCAACTAACTTATTAGACCTGCTCAGGTGTAGTCCTGGGTGTACTATTTCTGTTTTAGGATGTATTTCTATTGCGCTCATGCCAATTTATGACTTTGTACAATTGGCAGTGCTTGGTTTATCATGGACTTCAGTGTAAAAGTTTCATCAACTAACAGCATGCCCATTCTGATTTCTCATTCAGAATTTGGAAAGCAATTATAAATCTGTGTAAAATAGACTTGGGTCAGGACTTCATTTATTATATAACGCTATATACTTCTACCCTAGTAGGTGGGTCATGATGGAGCTTTGATTCTTTGAAAATCCAACAGTCTTCCATGGGAAGGTTCCATAGGAAACTGGATGTTCTTCTTCATCCAGTTATATTTACTGTATAAATAGTAGAAGGACCTTTGGGGAGTGGCTGGGGAGTGTGTTGGGCTTGTCCTCCCCTGGTCTCCTTTAGGATTACAAGATGATTGCTGCGATTCCAGGCCTTAGACGCAGATGTTACATCAGCACATATGTCTTCATGTATTTCAGTAAAGAAACTTCCCTCTGAAGTCCCCAGCAGATGTTCCTTCATGTTTTCTTGGCCAAAATGGTATCAAATGCCCTTACTTAAACCAGTGATTGAAAGGGGAATGGGGTTTCATGATTGGCTTAGTCCAATCAAGATTTATCTCTGGAGTTGGGGACAGGGCCAGTTTCCCCTGAAATTTAAAAAAGAGGAAAAAAAGCTTTTTATCAACTCATCTAACTTTATTCAAGTCTTCTCATATATTATCCCTAAAACAACACCACAAATCACCAGCAGGTTTTTATATCATAAAACCACAAGATTTTTACCCTCTTGCACCAGTATGTGCTAGAATGCAGGATAATGAGTATTTCTGTGAAAAGAAAGAAAACAAAAATAAACCTGACCATTTTTAATGCTTGTTAATATGGAAACAAAATGATAAAATAATAATCTTCTGTATATTTGATGGATTGTTTATTGTGGTAAGCTTTTCTTATGCTGTTCCCACCAAGTGAGGCAATCTAGTTAAGAAAGTTAATTTATCTGAGTGGATCTGTTAGCATCATTTGACAGCAAAACAGTAACAAAAAGTGACTGTAAATTGCTCAGCATATGTTATTATTGATACCCTCTTCACATGCACACATGGACACACTCTACTGTAGGAAAGTAAATTTCTGTATGAGAGTAAGCTGACCTGAATGTGAGTTATTCTCACATGGACTTAGAAGATGAGATAGTAGACACAATAATAAAGTAACTCAGCATCCTTAATGCTGGTTGAGTGACTGTAGAGCTGTCAGGCGTCCTGAAGACCACGTTGCTCTCAGCCTCCTTAAAGTGAAGAGGACTCGGGCGTTGTTATAATTGTATTGTTTTAGCTTAAATCAGGTGCTAAGTGCATGAATTTGTTAGACAAAGAGTGCCACCAGAGATTAAGAAATGTTATATTTTAGAAATAATATATTCTGCCTTTGTGAATAGTGTAGAGTCTCATGACTGGGTCTTTGTAAACATTTTGTAAAGACATAAATAAACCGTTTGTGACTTCAGATTGCAACCATTTTGAAAGATCTGAAAACAGTTTCAGAAAGGAGCTGCCAAATTTACTGCAAGTCAGTACAAAAGGAAACAGTTGTCTCTCAAATACATTTCACAGAACTGTATAGTTAGCAGTCTTTTCAGGTATAAAATAATAGCCTGATGTTTTTGTCCATTTTATTTTGATGGCTGGTTATCTATGGAGCCAATGGAGAATCAAATAAAGCTTTGTGAAACTGAAGGGTTTTCAAACCTTCATCTACTGGATAACTGAAAATAATTAATTAATTAAGAAACAAAGTGATTTGAGAATTTTGGATAGTGGTTAGCTATTTTCCTTCTTGCTACAGGGTTTAAAAAACAACCTGTGAGTCCATATTTTTACAGATTTCTTTTGCATTATACAAAGTGATGTTATTATTGGACAAGCAAGTAAATTATTACATATATCACATGTAGGGCAAGAGTCTGCTTTTTCTCTTATATAATATATATCTGAATAAAATCCGGTAACAAATTTGATGTAGGCCTCAAAGTATCTGTATTACTTCAGACTACATCAATAAAATGAAATCTTCCTAGTTTTGTGCCGTGAATTTTTTTCAGATTATTGTTCATAAATTGATGGATGCTAAAATGAAAGTGGAATAGGTGTTCAAGATTTATTCTACTTTGCTTTCTTCACAAACAGTGGAAAATATGGCTTCTTAGCTTGAAGGGAAGGATACTTCACTCTAACTCCATATTGTGATATCTTTTCTTGGGGAATTTTGCCAGATCAAGGAGGTTTAAACTGATTTGTTTTAAGGGGTAGTATCCAACTGAGTTTCTGTAATACCCCATTTTTCCCCCTGTGAGAAGGAAAGAAGGATGATGAGAAGTGGATTATAAGCAAATTAGTTACCTTGAAAAACAAAAGACCATTCCTGTAATTTGGGAGTAGGCCATATCAGTACCAAGTAGCAACTATTCCCATGGGTCTTCTGAAATAGGAACTTAATATGCGGTTACCTTATGCATCATGACTGTGGTGTATCAGAATGACAAAGTGAGATGGAGGTTCTCGATGGGGTTAACTCCCAAGACAAGAAGATGAAGCAGTAAAGGACCAAAGGATTCATCAAAGGAAAGTGTGACGTTTTTCTTGGTGTCTGGTAAACTTTCTTCGCGCTCCCACCTTTGCCCTCCCCTGCTCCTACTCTACACTCTGCTGAAATAAAGCCATCCATCACTTTATGTGTGTCTGCTTCCCAAATCTAGTCAGAAGTGACCAAGATATCTTCTTTTTGTGAATCGCAGCACTATTAGTTTAGAAGAGCAGATGGGCAGCTCAGTTTGAACAAAATGTCAAGCTAACTGCAGATCTTAACCCTATCACCCCTGAGAATGACTAGTCTTAGACACAGCTGCTACAGTTACTCATCTGAAGTTAGACCAGGAACTCTTTGGATCTCAATTTTTGTAGTCAAATTTAAAGCAAAGGAAGACAATGATAGAAAAGTTACTTTGACTTAGTCTATTTGGCGTGAAACTCTGAATTGATTCTCTGTCTGCTTTACAGCTGCCTATGAATACCTTCCTGGCAAAGTTCCTGCATCTTCTTAAACTCTATGTCCAGACAACCATCATTTTTCACCACTAATTAACCCTCCTCTCCAAGTTCTATATTTGTGCCAACTACACTATTATCTTCCCTATTTCCTAAGTGAACTATTTTGGTGTTATTTCTTCTTTCAGATATGCATATTTTCCAAAAGCCTGGACAATCATCCTTTGCAAGAACTCTTAGATTTATACCTTCCTCCCCATTCTCATTGTTACCACTGAGATGTAGGCTTCTATCTCACGGGTACTAAACCCTTCTGCCTGGTGTTTGTCTCTAGTCCCTTTCTGTTTTATCACATTTGCTCATAGGATAGACACAGTATCTAGTATTAAATGATGTTAAAAGCTTGCGCAGCAAGAGAAATCCTGTTGGTTTTATTATCTGGATTTGTGAGAGATTATATGGTGACAATGAACAAGTTGGGGAACCCTATGTGCCCCAGTTTCTCTGTCTGTTCCCTGAGGTTAAAGATCTATCTCAAAGAATATCTATAAGAATTTTAAGGAATTTTCTTTAAAATATTTCTCATATGAGAAGCACTGCATGTGTTTGTTGTTTTATTGTTGTCTGTTATATAGCAAAAAATTCCACTCTTGTGCTGACTGATTAAAGTCTAGTAGTTTTCTGCCAACTATTGGATACAAATCCTTTAGTCTGATTTTATAGACTTTCTATTATATCATCTTTTTTAGCTTAATTAGTCTTAAATTTCCCCCTTAGCTACAGATAAACACTTAGCTACAGTCTCTGCTTTTCCCTAGAAACCAGTACCCAACCCCAACTTTGTGAATGTTGTCCCTTGTTTAGAAATTCAACCCCTTTCTTTTATAACTGGGCATTATCTCAACTACTTCACACAATGTTCTTGGATGAATCCACCCCATGGTGGTTCCTCTAGCATTCCACATCTTTAAAAAAATTAAACATGCAACTTGTACTCTAATTCTTTCCACTGATTTAGAGATTTCTGATAACATTGCTCTCTAGCTTTTGTATTTATACAGGTCTTCTCAAACAGGTTATAAGTTCCCTGAGGGCAGGAACCATGCCGCCTGCCTTCTTTTGTAATTCTGCAGGGCCTGGAATTGTAAAGGAGACAGTAAGTGATTAATAAACACTTGTCTAATTTAGTTAACTAATGGTTTGGAAGTTTTTTATGTAGATTCCTTTGTATATACATTCTTGGAAAGAGTCCAAGGCAAAGGGAAAATAAAATTCAGTTCACTTTGTCTTTGGCTTTTTGCAGCCTAAAATAGCTAATTGAAAATGAAATTCCCTATTTAAGAAACTGGCAAACTAAAGAGAACAGTGTCAAGAAAAGAAGATTCTAGAAGATATTTTCTTTAACTTTGTGAAAGGACCATTTTCCTTTTTCCCCTTATAGTTCTCAACCACTTGCCAATCCACTCTTTTCACTTTCATTCCCTCCTCTAACCAAACCCTACACAATTCTACATGAATTGTGGAATTCATGGGTTTGGAAACCATGTTTTTGGGTTTGGGTTCCTTCCCAACAACTTCCAAGCTCTTGCTACCTGTTCTCGCTTTTCCTGCAGCCAAGCTACATCGCCCCTTTCCTGTTCCTTGAACACACCATGTGCAGTTCTGTTTGCCTTGAATATTCTTCCTCTGACCCTTCTCTCTGCTTTTTCCTTATATTCTTCCAGCTAAACTCAGGGGTACCATTTCAGGGATCACCTCCATGACTACCCTGTTCAAGGAAAGACCTTCTTCTTTTCCCATCATCCTCTGTCATATGACTCTGTTTTTTTTCATTAGAGCCCTGACCACAGCCTGAAATCTTCACGTCTACAGTTTTGCTTTCTTGTTTATCACTGTCTTCCTTCACTGGAGGGTGTGTTCCTCAATGGCTGGGACCTTAGTTTCCATGCTTATCATTGTATTTCTTGTACTTTACAAGAGAACCTGATATACAGTGGGCACTCACATTATAACTAAATGAATAATGAGCTTATAATAGTAAGTTTAAGCTACAAATACATGAATTATCTATTGCCTTATAAAATAAATATTCCTAAAAGAGGTGTAGTGAGGTGGGGATATGAAATGTTGATCGTGTACATAGTTTCCACAGAGAGAAAAGGGGTCTGGAGTGAAGTTAGTCTCATATAATAACCCAATTACTTTGATAAAACAAGGTTTCATTTCTTCCCAGCTGTGAAAAGACTAATGGATCCTAGGTGTACGTGTTTTTCTCCCATGCATTTCCTGTCTATTGTGTAACAGATGAAATGAAGAGAATTATTTTAATAGCTGCTAATGTTTTCAAGCAAAAGTAAAACATGTCTTGCCCTCAGAGCTTGCCAGTGTTTCTGACTCACTCTGCCAGTTAGTGTAGAGAGGAAATAAAATTCACCTCTGCGACTTCTGCAGACTCTCATAGATATGGAAACAAAACAGTTTCTTAGTTTATACTGTAGGAATTTACATGATGACATTTAATGTATAAATGATGCATTCCTACTAATCTAGGGAGATGCGTATACTTCCTTCTTTGCTGTGTTTATCTCCTGCTGTCAGCTCTCCATTTCTCCCAGTACACAGTTCTCCAGCTCCAATAAAAAAAAAAAAGTCTGGTGTTTGTTCTTTTCTCCATGTCTTGGCTGATGTTATTTCCCTGGCCTACGTTTACCAATTTTATTTCAAGGTCTGGTCCAAGTCCTATGTTTTCTCTGAGTTGTTCTGTCCTAATCTTAACTTTTGTATTTTTTGCTTGTGTCCATAATCATGTGATGCCAAAAATTTCCCACTTAAAAAAAGAAGGTCTCTATGTGTTCCTCTTCTAATAAGGATTTAAAGGTTCTCTGGGGAAGAAACTATTCCCTCTAACTTTTTCAACCCCTCCAGCTCCTAGCACTGTCTGAACCCATCATGTGTGGATGCTCAGTAAATATTTGCCCAATGGAATTGGCTTGTAAGAGTTCATGGAGAGACTGGAAAACAGAAATCTACAGTGCACGGTAAAGCTCAATTAGGCTGGTGTTTCTAATCTTCTTGCCCACTAAATCTTTGAAGAAAGAGTCAGTGAAGTTATACAACTAACCTTTTTTTCCTTATAAAATCAAAGTGTCAATAAGAATGACCAAAGGATGATAATTTGTACTAGAAGAAGGGAACCTTTTAGCTATTAGATCAGTGAAATTATTCTCATTAATTGGCATCTCTAATTGTGCGACTTTCGCTTTCCATGGAGAAATATACACCCAGTTGAGGAGACACAGCAGGAGCTGAAGAGATCTTTGGCAATAGCATGTGTTAGAGAAACTCGGTTGTATGGATTAAAGCAGAAACCATAGTATGTGTCTATCTTGCTCAGTGTGTACACTTGAGAAACCCACATTCTTGTGCTTCTTTTTGTTCCCATTCTGGATGCTCAGGAAGACCTGTGTTTGTGCAGAGAATGAATTATTCAACCACTGGTTCATTTTCAGCTCTCCCATATAGGGAAACATCATCTCATCAGATGAGGGTTCTAAATTTTGGTGATGGCAACTCTGCTCTACCTTCCTTTCTCTTGGTAAGCAGGAAGTTTCATGCTGCCACAGGGCTCTCCCTGAGCTGAGGTTTTCTGGCATAATATTTTTATTTCTCTACTTCTCATTTACCCAATTCAGTTTTTCTGGTGAGTTTTTTTAAACATATTTTTAATTTCTCTAATTCAATTTCATAAAACTTTTTTCCAAGTAGATGGAGCAAATGATGTTCCTTTTTTTAGAGATAGCCTATCATTATGAGCAAATACCTCATTCTTGATAATCAAAAGTACAATGAAAGGTTTTTTTTTCTTTTTCAAAAATCAGCATCCTTTCCCTGCTTCCATGCCCTAGACCGTGCACGACATGTTGCTTTCCCCTGAGAAGGTGTAACTGCAGTGAAGTCTCACAGCTACTCTGACCTTCAGAAGGAGGGAGGTGGTATGTAGCCTCCCATGTTCCTGTAGCACCTCACTAAGTCAGTGATTGCAACTGAAGGGGCACAATGAAAATATTAAGGCAACGCCAGTAAGGGAGATAGATTTCAGAGATGAGATTAAAAAAATGTGTTTGTAATACACTGCCTGAATCCAGTGGCTTAACTGGGCAAGACAGCAGGATACCTACTTCAGGTCTCTTGACAGGCAACCCTGAAGAGAGGGGTTCAGAGAGGGGTTCAGGCAGGGGAAGACTCCAGGCAGGGGAAGACTGATGAAATCTCACAACTCACGAGCAACTCCCATTCTACAGTATTGAATCAGTCCAAGAGAGACAAAAACTTCATCTCTGGGAGCAGAAACATCACAGTATCTTCATCTAACCTTATGTTTGCCCATTCAAAATCTCTTTTGCCTAATCTAAACCAGTCGAATATGGATAAATC